TGCCAAGGCTTGTTTACCGGTAAAAATTACTGGATCTCCTCATCCTCTCCCCTTTTGATGTACTGAATGAGGAGTCTGAATTTTCAACGTGACAGCTGTTGGGCTATTGAAACGTGCAATAGACCCAGGAAAGTTTTGAGAGCTTGCAAAATCCTTATCTTTGAAAATGAAACTCGTCCACGACCTCAGCGACTCCTCCCTCTCTCACGTCTGCACAGAGGCAGTGTAGCTGGATGGCAGTCATGCCCTCTATCTGTGACGCATTGCTGTGGGCGTTGATACCTGACTCCAGGCACCTATTTACCTTTCACAGCCCTCATTGGGGTTTGTACTGCAGGTGACTAAACAAACTGACCCTTATCCACCAGAGCAAATCCAGTGATACGACCATGAAACTCCCCAGTGCTGCCTTCACACAGCTGTGTTTCTAATCTCTGCGGCAGTCCCTTTCCAAGAGCAATTAAAACCTCCTAGACGGTTGTCTCTTACCATGGTTTTGTTTTTGGTTGTAACAAAGATAGTGAATAAATAAAAATCCTTTGTGCTCAACGAGATCATGTCCTGTTGTTTGTATCCTCCCGAGACTCTTAGTTCGTGAAATTCTGCTCTGATGAAGAGCGTGATATCAGTCAGTCCTCTAGGATTATATCCCACAAAGCTTGTACCCACGAGGAATTTCTATTAAGATTGTCAACATAGTGAGCAGGATTAAGGCTGTTCTGTTACCTCTCTGGTGCTTACATGCTATGCATAAGTGATACACTGAAATATATTTGATTGAATTATATTAATGTATAATTTTGGGGGTACATCTTTTTTTCAATGGGAGCACCCTGTTCTTTCTCTCTCTTTAAACAGACCTTCAGAAATGTCTTGCATCTATTGCAGTGCATGACATTGCTGGAGGGAGGAGTTCTGAATCTGCAAATTGTCGATGAAAACTGTTTTCTGTTTTGACTGTTTAAAAAAAAAAAAAAAAGATAAAATGTGCACTAGTGTCGACAACGCCAGCGTTTCTAGACGGGCTCAGATGGCAGGTCCATCTGGTGCAGCGTCCTGTTCCGAAGAGCAGAGCAGCATCTACCCGCTGTGTCCAGAGACGGAGCACGCACCCTGCAGCTGGCAACTGCGAAACGATAATCCTCCACGTACAGCACGACTTGGTGTCTGATACGAAAGCCCTGAAGCGTTAGGATTAACTGTTTTCCCAAGATTTGTTAATATATAGCACTGCTGGCAAAGTATTTGCTCATATCCAGTAACTTTGTGCAATTAAAAAGGAGTGAATTTGGAGAAGGCTGCCCGGCAAGGTGCTGCCTGCAGTCCGCCTCCTCCCTGCCGCTGGCAGATCCCTGGGCAGGCGCGGGGCTCTAGGAAGGGGGGCGGCTGTCAGGGTGTATTTGGGGGTGAGCAATTTTTCACAAGCTGGGAGAAAGGTTTCCCCATTTCTTTGGGAAGAGGAAAGCAAAACAAGTATATCTGGTCAGTTTTGAAATCTCATTTCATTTCTGAATTAAGGAAATAATTACAAACTTAATTTACTTTAAGAGATTGGATTTTCTAAGGTGTGACTCTTGTTTGTTTGTTTTTCCCATCCCGCTGGAGGTTTATGCTTTGTCCTCTCCACAGAGGTTTTCTCCTTGTGTGGAAGTGTTTTATACAATAACCCTCTCTGCTTTGGGGTTTGTAGCTTGTGTAATGTGACCAGTCTGTAAAGGAAAGTTTGTTATGTGGTTCAGAAAGAAAATACACTTTCTGGGGTGTAGGGGGATGGGGCGCGGACACAGCTTTGTGTGTTCTTCATGATTTACCATAGGGGGGGGTTAGCTGTTGATGTGGCAGTGCTTGCAACCCTGCATAGTGGCATGAAGTGTGGGAATTCTTGCCCTTTCTTGAAAGCTCAGTTTTGCCCTTCAAAGTATGTCGGTGTACCCGAAAAGGGTAGCAGGAACCCTAAACCTGGGAGTCCCGCAACATCCGAGAACCTCATTTACATGCTGGTAAAGATCCCATTGTGATGCACAGTAGCTCTGGAATAAATTTTCTTGAGGAAGTTCTTTAAAAGGAGAACTTAGAGCTTAAAAAGTCCCATTTTCCCCTTTGGCTGTTCTCCATCTTCCGCCCAGCCCGCTTGGCAGTCAGCGGGGCGAGAGGTGGCCCTTTGGCAACACAGAGCCCGTTCCTTTCCCTCAGCCGTAGTGGCTTTCCGAGGATGTGGAGCGGGGCCCCCCCGGCCCCGATGCCCCACTGCCCAGCGCTTTGCCTGGCAGCATGTCCTGCTGCCCCGGATGGAGCCACGGTTTGGGTGGTGGGGATGGGCACTGCTGCCCGTAGCCGTGTTACGTGCTCAAAGTGCTCAGACTTGGCACTTGTCGGCTGGATGTCACACTAGGCGGCTTGTGCTGGCTGGCTGCTGTGGTATTTAATTTGTAATGAAATAATGGTTAAGTTTAAAACAAAGGCATCGCTTTTTGCATTGAATATTCTTCTCTTACCTGAAAACAGAGCTCCTTTTGACCCAAAATATTTTTAATTGCCTTAAGGTCCTGATTTGTTTCCTTTTTAAACTGCCTGCTTAAATGTGCCTCAGTGCCTCTTTTAAATTGGGCCGTCACCAGCAGCTCAACCTCTTCCAACACCCAAAAATTTCAGGTTGCGAGCGCAGCTCTGAAAGCAAATAACTGCTGAAAATCTACCCGCTCCCTGATTCCACAGGGCAAAGCATGGTGATGGGGTGGAGGGGTGAGGAAGAAGCCTCATTATTTTTTTTAACCCATCCTACCTGCCTACTACAAACGGCCTATTTTCTGCCCCTAATGGTTTCTGCCTAACAAATGGTGTTTCTTTTTTACAGCGTTATGATCCTGGACTTGTTGTGGTGATGGTAAACTTAGCAGTGGTAATTTTTTATTTTCAGACTGAATTACTCCTTTTGTCATCAGTGCACCAATATGTTAGGCTTACTTTCTCTGTTGTAGCCATCATCCTTCTGCTTGGTCTTTCATTTTCCTTTCCTTTCCTTTCTTTATGCACACTTGTCTGATCCTTGTTCATTAAAGGGTATTGCTAAGAAGGGATGTTTCTGTTTGTGTTAGAACTGCCAAAATCAGTGTAAACATAAATTTCTAATACTGTCCAAACTTGATTTTTCCCCAACATGATGGGCACTAGCACTTGCTACTGCAATTTCCAAATAGATTTTGAAAAAAACAAACCCAAAACTTTGACTGCCTTAGAAGGCAAAAGTACTGATGCATTGTTTGTACGCAGGGGTTTACCAGGGCAATGAGGCTGCATCGAAAGATCTTGATTGCTGGAGAAACAAACAAATTAAAAAAAAAAAAAAAACAACAAACAACAAACCCCAAACCAAAACAAAAAGAAAAAAGCTTGGGAAAAAAAAAAAAAATTGTTGGCACTTGCTGCCAGCCATTCCATTTGGGTTCACCACTTACCAGTAAATCCCTGGCTGAGACGTTATGAAAGTGATATTGCACTTAGGAAGTCATTTTTATAACCTGTCTTTAATTTGGTCCTTTTGCTAAAAATTGCAGTCACTGCTTACTTTATTATACCATTGGGCGTAAGAGAAACATTTTCAAACGGAGAACGCTTAAAATACCCAAATGAAAGCTCAATTCAAAATATTATTTTGGATCAGCATGATAACTATTTTTGGACTTGGTGAATATATGCCTGTCAAATTTATGGGCATATAAACAAAACCATGAAGCGATTAATTAAATGGACTTGTTTCTGAAAGAAAAACACATGCCTCTGTACTTTAAGAGTTAAAAAGACACAAGTCTGACCAGAGTAGGTTCCCTTTGGGGACTCTGTGGAGCCTGAGATCTGTGGACTGTCGCTTTTGCAGGAGTTAGAGAAAGCTGATATTGGAGAAGAGAGAAGTTGATGCCTATACAGGTTTTCTGAGGCGGTTTTAAAGACTTTAACCTTTTGCACATGTGGATGGCAATGGAATATTTTTGGCTTGATTAAAACCTGTAGATCTTTTAGCCCAAAGGTATAATATATGTGTATGTGTGTATAACAAAACAGTTGTTTACACCAAAACAAGAGCAATAATAAGGGAAGTAAACATTCTGTTTTTTCACTCAAGGTATGCACCGGATAAGGTAAGTACTTTTTCAGTGGGCTTACATCACAACGAACAGCGCGAGTTGTGATGTAAAAAGAATAATAATAATAATAAAAAAAAAAGCTGTGGTAGTAAAGTGCTTGTCTGCCCCATTTTGCTTCGTTTGGCTGGTTATGAGTGGATTAAAGATATGTTTAAAAAAAAAAAAATCTCCAGCATAGTTTGATTAGTTCAAAGTCAATTTTCTTCGCAACTAGTCCTTTTCACAGCTTACAGAGGACACAGCGAGTGCTAGAGCATCTCTCCGCAGGAGCTGGGGAAGCAGGTGCTTGACCACCTGGCCTGGACCGGGCGGTTGTTTTGGACGAAAGAAGTTTGGCTTCTGTGCCATGCTTCTCAGTCAGCTTTCCTTACTCTTGGGAAGGGACAAAAGTTGGCGGGAGGGAGGCTTCCACATCTTTTAAAGGAAAGTCCTAATCAATTCTTAATGTGGTAGAGCAGTAAAATGTATTTAACGGCTTTTTCACTTGCATTAGAAGATGAGGAGAATGTATTGCCTGATGTGGAAGCGTTGAGGAGAAGGATCATTTGTCAAGTCCTGTTAACAGCCCTGCCCTAGGACTTGTCATGGTTGAACATTAACCACGGGTATGTTTTATGTGACCAGTTAATGTTCAGAAAATACCATTCATCAGTACTCGGGGTGCATTTAACTGTAACCGGTTTGGAGCTGAGAAGCAGATTTGGCTGTAAGCTGTGAGAATGGCTTGTGTTTGGTTCACTGTAGCTTTCTGGTCTCTGCACTCCAAGGCAAGATCTCTAACCACCCAAACCCAATGTGTAAAGCAAGCTGTGGCGACAGACCGGCTGCTGACCGCCTCTGTGTGTGTTCCTCTTACAGGGAGGACAGATCCCATCCCTATCGTCGTCAAGTACGATGTCATGGGCATGGGACGGATGGAAATGGAGGTAAGCTCGCAAGGCTCTGGCTCCTGCCCTGCACCCTCTCACTCCTTGCATGGCTCTCGGGGAGTTGATAGGGAAGAAATTTAAAAGTGAGAATTTGTGCATCAAAGGTAAAGAAAAACTTGCTCTTAAATCAACACAGTAAGAAAACACTTCTCAAAATACATACTCTGTTTACCCATGGGTACTGGATACTATCTGAAATTCCTGGGCTTTGTGATTTCACTTCTGCAAAGCTGAGGCTGCTGCTGGCAGTGGATGGGCCTGCCGGGAGCCTCCATCTCGGAAGGATTAATGAACCATTTTGCGTGTGGGTTACACTGTGGGATGACAAAAGAGGGAAAGTGAAGCACAGTATGCAAAGATTCTGTTTCAAACCTTATCTTTTTAAAATCACACATTCTGGCAGTCTCAGTAGTGCAAAGTATTTATGGGACAAATTGCATCTCTTCTCCCCCCCCCCCCCCCAAAAAAAAAAAAAAAGCTCGACTACGCCGAAGATGCCACTGAGCGGAGGCGTGTACTGGAGGTGGAGAAAGAAGACACCGAGGAGCTGAGGCAGAAATACAAGGTACTGAAACAGGGGCATTAACATCAAAGTTCCCGTGGGCTGAATGGGAGAGGATTTGTTCTGATAGGACAGAGCTCTTCTCGTTAGGCTGTGGTAATGGTAGTAGGAATTAAGTATTCTTGTTTTTTGTCATTGTTGAGATTATTTATATTTTAACGAACTGGTTATTCACTTCCTGGAATTAACCTTGATGTTTGTTTAGCTGCTTAAGAGCTACAGGATAGCAGCAGAGCTTTCCTCTGTGTGCTTTGCTCCTGTTCTGGAAAGAACAGTCCTAGGGTAGAGCAGAACATTTCCTTCCCTAGACCCAGGGCTGCCAAATTTTTCTAGTGAACCTGCCACGTTGTCAGCGAAAAATCTGCAGATGCAAATGTTAGATGGGCAGTTGTCAGCTGGAAGTGGAGTAGATCTTCTGTTGTTACTGAGCAAGCAGTAAGTAGTGCATTATGATACTGTTGCATAAATCCTGCTTTCTTTGAAAAGGTAGGACGTGGCTCCAGTTTTGAGAAATCGATGGGCTGCATCTCTTTGGAAGAATTTCTCAGGCAGCATTAAAAAAAAAAAAATATATATATATATATATTCTGTATTTCCATAGGGTTTACAAAACCTGTGGGGTGTTTTGTAAGCCAAAGACTGTTATCTTTTAATGAAAAAAGTGGTCCATCATATTGGCATTGATCTTGACATGCTGGAGCATACTTGGATTAGCTGTAACAGAGTTCTCTGTGGAGACATGGTCTTTGCTAGTCTGTTAATCCACTCTTCACTTACCAGCCTGTAAAGCACATCAAGTCTTAGGAAGGCCCGCTTGTTTAATTGTCCTGAGATTTGAGAAGTACCGAGGTTGAAGAAGAGCCCTAGACATTAGAATAAAGTGCCAGGTTTGCATAAATTTTAATTCTTTGAGGAACAATCACAGAATCATAGAATAGTTTGGGTTGGAAGGGACCTCTAAAGGTCATCTAGTCCAACCCCCCTGCCATGGGCAGGGACATCTTCAACTAGGTCAGGTTGCTCAGA